CCCGGCTTAACGGCGCAACGGCCGGCCTGGGCCTGCATCTCCGGGTGCGGGCCGGGCGGGAGCGGCCACCGGAGAGACCTGGTAGGCGGGGCGTTCGGGGCAGAAAGGAGCCGGGGAGGGACTAGCACGACCGTGATTTGTGCGGCGTGCCCGGTGCGGGTGGGAGACCGGGTTGCGGCTGCCCTCGCACGACCGTCCGGGACCGGGGGGCCGTCGCCTCCCTTCGCCCGCGGGGCTCGCCGACCTCATTGGGAGGCGGCCGCCGGGGCAGACCGGGCGCCCGAGGCCCGTGTCTGAGGCGGCTGCTTAGTCTGGCAGTGTCCCGAGCGCGGCGGTCGGGCCCGGCGATACGGACGACCGAGGCGGTGGTGGGAAGGGCGCGGGGCCTTCGCTTCTGCCTTAGTATGGCAGATGCGCGGAGGCTCCAACAGGTGGCTCCGTGGCGCAATGGATAGCGCATTGGACTTCTAGAGGCTGAAGGCATTCAAAGGTTCCGGGTTCGAGTCCCGGCGGAGTCGTATGTTTTTTTTTTTTTTCTTTCCCATAATTTATTTCTACTCCCTTCGTTCTCTCCTTGCTTTTTCCTAAGCGATTTAACTTGCCTCCCACTCCCTGTTCTCTCCCCACTGCATTTGGCTCCTGCGGCCTTTTCACCTTTAGCGGCTTGCAGGGTCCCGCGTCACCTCTTCTCCCGCGGCCTCAGTGGCTCAGGGCCTGGCCCAAGTGACTCCGAAGCGGAACCAGGTTATGGAAAGAGCGGCCCCGGGCGGCGGCGGCGGGTAGGGAAGGGAGGTGACAGCGAAGCGAGGCCTTGCAGTTTCGGCCTAAAGGAGAGCGCAGGGGAGGCCCGGGTCTCGGGTGACACCCACGCCCAGAGTGCGACTGTGGCTGCGAGGACGGGACAAGAAAACGCTCCACTGTTCTGCACTGTGCGGGCTGACTGCCCCTGTAACCCCGAGGGATTTGAAATTAGCACGAATCGGAATTCCCTGTGGGATCCTGTCAAAAATGTAGATTTCTGGGCTTCACTCTGGGACTCTCTAGATCAATCGATCTGGGGCGCGGCGTAGGAATCTGCATTTCTGGTAAGACTGCTCCCTCTCCCTTCCCCCATGATTCTAATATAAAGAGGTCCAAGGCCCACGAGACAGCTCTTAGCTTTGTACAGGGTTACTGTTCCACCTCACTGAATGAGAATAAATCAAGGAATGAATGTAATTTTAAAAATTCATTGTGATACACAATGAAACAGGAAATTAATGCAAAAGATGCAAAATCCAAAATCTTCAAAAAAGTACAGGGAAAACCAAACATCTTTGTTATTCCTATATCACAACCTTGCAATTCTCTCCACAAGCCTTTACTGATAATGGTTTCTTGAAAATATTTTCAGATTTATTTTATGGGTATGTCAGCATTTTTTATATCCATTGTCTCTGTATTAATATTATTGATATATGTGGTATGTATCTTTTTAAAAACACAACTGGTACTATGCTATACTTGCCTATTTCACGTATTAGTACACATAGAGATGCCTTATTTCATTGTACATATGTATCATAATGATTTAACAGTCCATAATAGACATTTAGGTGTCCAGTATTTTTCTATTACGGACAATGCTTCAGTAAATATCCTTGTTCTTATGTTATTGTACACAAGTGCAAGTATATCTGTAGGATAGATTCCTAGGAAGTTGAATTGCTGGTTCAAAGGTTTGTGCATTCTTTGATAGATATTGGCAAATTGCTCTCATAGGGATTATACCCATTTTACTATCACCAGCAGTATGTGAGAATGTCTGTTTCCCCACAACCCACATGTTATCAAACAGGTGAAAAATGGTTTCTAGTTGTAGTTTTTAATCTGCCTGTTATTATGAGTGAGGCTGAACATCTTTTCATCTTTTTCTGTGATTTATCTGTTCTTGAGTTGTGCTCATTTTGTTGTGTCATTGGTCATTTCATTCGTTTGTAGGACTTCTTTACATATTAAGGAAAACAGTCCTTTGTGATTTGTGTTACAATTATTCTTTCCCAATCTATTTATCTTTTTACTTTGTTTATGGTATTTTGTTTTGTTTTTCTGTCTTAGAGTTTATCAGTCTTTTCTTTTATGGCTTCTGGGTGTTGGGAAAATTCAAAATTAATTCTTTCAGTAGCTTGTTTTGCCTTTAAAACAGAACCTGCTATTGTATCAGCTTTACTGATAATCAACTGCTCTGCACTCCTGCTTCTGTAAACTGTGCTTGCTTATCGCAATAGCTACATGAATGCTGAGAAAATGAAACGTATTATTGCACTAGCTACATGAATGCTGAAAAAGTGAAACCTAAAGAATCTGGAAGAGTCTGTCTATATAAACCCTCAAGACCTAAACTTGGGGCTCAGGTCTTGGAGTGCTAGCTCATCTGGGCCTGCTGGCATAATAAATACCTGACTCTCCAACCCTCTCAGTGCTGACTGCTTCTTTGTCAAGTCCATTCCATAACATAGGTTTGGAGTCATTCTGAACTCAGATTATTAAATAATTTCCTTTTAATGGCTTTCTTTTTACAGTTTTAAAAAATCTTCGCTTCATCTGGAATGTATTTTTGTATAAGAAGTGAAGTGGGAGTTCTGTCCCAGAATCACTGATGTTGAACACTCTTCCTTTTGTACACTAACATGAAAGCTATCCTTATCATTTTCTAAATTCCCATGAGCATTTGGGTTTCAGGATTCTCTGTTCTATTCCATCGATCTACCTGTCTTAATGTTGATTTACCAAACTGTGCTGTTTTAATATCTACTAGGGCCAGTCCTCCCTTATCATTTGTTTCTTAAAAGATTTTCCCACCTATTCTTGAATTATAATTTTTCTCAAATTACAATAATAGTTAGCACTTATTTGGCATTTGATATATACCAGGTTTCTGAGTGAGAACCCAGGAAGGATGGGTCTGTGGGTAAAATTGTAATTCTGTATTGCCTTTTCACATGAGCTTTAGTTACAGCTAGTCTGGCTCTAACCTTAGGAGTTTTTTTTTTTTTTTTTTTTTAGTCATGTTATCTTTATAGATTAATATAGAGAGAATTGAACTAATTAGGATGTTGAGTCTTCCTGTTTAAAAGCATCAGGGGGAAAAAAAGAACAGCTATACCTTTTCATTTGTTTAGCCCTCCTTCTATGCTCTTCAGGAGCATAGGTCTTGACTTTTTTGTTGCATTTATTCCTAGATAGCTTATCTTTTTTGTTGGGATCCTTTCTTCCATTATATTTTCTAACTAGTTATTTATATATAAGAAGGCTTTTGATATTTTAAATAATAATTTTATATCTAGTCATCTTACTGAAATATCTATAGTTTTTCAGTTCAAAATCTCAATGAAGTACCACTTTACACCCACTAGGATGGCTGTAATAAAAAAGAAAGACAAGGTGAGGGGACTTAAAAAAGTTCATGGAAAAATGGAATTAAAAGATAAAAATAAAATATATAAACTTTATTTCTCAACATAAGCTTCATCAAGTTCAAGACACTTTTGTAAGCAATGATATCAGCCATTTAGTCCATTCCTAAAGAACTTGAGGGTCCTGGGAATTTAACCATGTCAAGGCAAACTTTTTACATTGTTAACTGAAGAAAAACGGGTGCCCTTTAAAGATTCTTTTAAGATTAGGACACAAAAAGAAGTCAGAAGGTGTCAAATCAGGACTGTAAGGTGGATGCCTAATGATTTCCCATAGAAACTCTTGCAAAATTGCCCTTGTTTGATGAGGAGAATGAGCAGGAGCATTGTCATGGTGGAAAAGGACTCTGGTGAAGCTTTCCAAGGCATTTTTCTGCTAAAGCTTTGCCTAACTTTCTCAAAATACTCTCATAGTAAGCAGATGTTATCATTCTTTGGCCTTCCAGAAAGTCAGCGAGCAAAATGCCTTCAACATCTCAAAATCTGTCATGACCTTTCCCCTTGACTGGTCTGCTTTTGCTTGGACCAGACCACTTCCACCTCTTGGTAGCCATTGCTTTGACTGTGTTTTGTCTTCAGGATCACACTGGTAAAGCCATGTTTCGTCTCCTGTTACAAATGCTTCAGGATCTTGATCCCACTTGATTAAAATTTCCATTGAAAACTACTGTTATCTGCAGCTGATATGGGCACAACAGTTTTGGTACCCATCGAGTGAAAAGTTTGCTCAACATTAATTTTTCAGTCAGAATTGTGTAAGGGGAACCTGTTGAAATGTCTGAGGTGTTGGTTATTGTTTCTGCTGTTAATTGTTGGTCCTTTTCAATTAGGACACGAACAAGATTTTTTTTTTTCCTTTTTGTCTTTTTTCGTGACTGGCAACGGATCGCAACCCTCAGTGTCGCACCCGTACCAGACCGGGACCGGCAATGGGATCACAACCCTCGGTGTTGCGCCCGCACCTCGCTCAGCCAGTGAGCGGCCGGTCTGTATGTGGGATCCGAACCCTTGGCGGGAGCGCCGCCGCACTCCCAAGCGGCGCACTGTAGCAGCGTGCCACCGGGCCGGCCCATGAACAAGATTTTTACCTGCAAATTGATGTGGATGATCTGCTGCTGTGTGCTTCATCTTCAACATCGTCTTGTCCCTTAAAACTGCTGTTTTTTTGGGGGGCCTCATCCCCATAAACTTTTCATAAAATATCAGTGACTTAACCATTCTTCCACCAAGCTTCACCATTTAGCAGAATTCATGTTGTTCTGATCGGGGCTCTTTTCAAACTGATGTCTTCCCTTCTTAGTGCCCAAGAATAGATCCTGTTCAGACATGTTGTAACAAGTTAGTACAGTTTGTTTTGGTGCAAAAAAATTTTGCAATCATGCCTAGTTTCTTCATAATAAGCATTTTCCATGAACTTTTTGAAGAACCCTTGTGCAAGAGTTAGCAAGGATTAGAACTTTCATATGTTGCCAGTAAGGATGTAAAATGGTGCAGCCTCTTTGGAAAATTTATCTATTCCTCAAAAAGTTAAACATTAGAGTTACCATATGACCCAGCAATTCCACTCCTAGGTTATACACCGAAGAGTATTAAAATCATATGTCCACACAAAAACATGTACAGGAATGTCCACAGCAGCATTGTTTTAAATGGCCAAAAAGTAGAAACAACCCAAATGTCCATCAACTGATGAATGGATAAAAAGCTGCAGTGTATCTATTTGTTGACATATTATTCAGCAATAAAAAGGAATGAAGTACTGGTTCATGTTACAACATGAATAAACCTTGAAAACATTATGCTAAGTGAAAGAAGCCAGTTACAAAAGACCACATATTGTATGATTCCATTTATATGAAATGTCCAAAATAAGCAAATTCATAGAGACAGGAAGTAAATTAGTGGTTACCAGGGGCTGGGATTAGGGAGAATGTGAAGTCACTGCTAATGAATATAGGGTTTCTTTTTGGGGTGATGAAAATAGTGGAAATAGTGGTGCTAGGTGCACAACTCTGAACATACAAAAATTCACTTTTTGTATGTTCAGAGTTGAATATACTTAAAGGAGTAAATTTTATAGTATGTGAGTTATATCTGAATTTCAAAAAGGAAAAGCAGTTTTTCAGTTGACTTAAGTTATGTTTTCTGGATATATTACCCTCAAATTATGATGATTTTACTTTCTCCTTTCTAATTTTTATGCCTCATATTGTTTCTCTGGTAATAGCATCAGCTAGTATGTTCACAAAATGCTAAATAATTTTTTGTGATAATGGTGGTAGTGGACTTTCTTGTCTGTGGTCATGAAAGGAGTGCTTATCCATTAAACATGATGCTGGCTTTTGGGGTTGGTGTGGGCAGGCATTCATACATGTGTACACACACACACACACACACACACACACACATTTTATCACATCAAGAAAATATCTATCACGGGCCGGCCCGTGGCTCACTCGGGAGAGTGTGGTGCTGATAACACCAAGGCCCCGGGTTTGGATCCCATATAGGGATGGCCGGTTCACTTGCTGGCTGAGTGTGAGTCAAGGGTTAAGATCCCCTTACCGGTCATCTTTTTGGAAAAAAAAAAAAAAAAAAAAAAAAGAAAATATCTATCACTATTCATCAATATGTAAATTTTTCTCCTTTGATCTATTAATATTGTACAATATATTAACATATTTTTAAAATATTAAACTCATCTTACATTCCTAAAATTAATCCCACTTGATTATGGTGTATATTTATTTTTATATTCTACTATTTTGCAGTTTTTGCATGTTTAGAAAGATTGACATTTAATTATTTACCATAAAATGAATAGCAAATGCAGCATTGTTTGTAATGGCTCCAAACTGGAAATAACCCAGATGTCTGTCAGTAATCTTCTGTTTGAAGAAGGTGTGATGGAAGCATATAATTGAATACAAGGCAGACCTTTAAAAAATGAGAAAGATCTATATATACTGCTATGGAAAAATGTCCAAGATTATATGAAAAAATCTGATATGCAAATGAATATTTTAATAAGATTCCATTTGTGTTAAATAATAATGTGACAGTAACAGCATAAAAATGTGTGTTTTATTACCATGATTGCATGTGCACCGAAAATTTCTGGATGGATAGACTGTTAACAGTGGTTACTTTAGGGAAATGCTGGGTTGGAGGAGCAATGGCATGAAGGGAAGGGTTTTCCTTTTTACTTTATTCTTGTTTGTAATGTTAGTTTTTTTCATAATGAGCCCCTATCCTTGTAATAAAAAAGTTAATTTTAAAAAAGGTAAAGCAAAGAAAAAAAAATCCTAATGCTAACGAGGAAGGAAAAAATAATATTTATGCCTCTTCCTAGATAACTTTCAGCTAGGCAGCTCTGATACTGTTTATCCATTAAAGATTCCCCAAGCTTGATTTTTATTGACCCCATACACTCTACTATATGCTGGATCTCAGTGATGAATAAGCTCTTTAGGAGCTCATCTGGTAAGCACCTGTAGGAGCTCCTCCTATTAAGAGTGGAGAAACATATAAACAGAATATCTCTTTACAGAGTGATTCCAGCAGGGACCATATCCTGAAGGTCTTGTATACCATGTTAAGGAGTATGGACTTTACCCTAAGGCAATGGGAAACCACTGGATAGATTTTAGCTGGGAAGCAGTATGATTAGATGTATGTTTGTGTCCTCCCTCTGTCTGCAGTGTGGATCACGGCTGAAATAGCACAAGACTGGAAGTCAGAAGACCAGTTCAGGGGCAGTTGGAGACATCTAGGTAAGAAAATGATGAGGGCTGGAACTGGGGAGGTGGTTTGGTGAGAAGGATAAAGATACAAACTGGAGGTGTTTCAAGGCCAAATTGATGAGCCTTGATGAAATAAAGGATATATAGAAGAGAGGGAGGGAGCAGTCACAATGACTCCCATCTTAATTAGGCAGATGGGTGGGTGCTGAAATAGTCACTGGGACAAGAAATAAAGGTGAGAAAAGTGGGTTCAGAGGGCAGATGAGTTCAGATTCACATGTGCTGAGTTTGAGGTCTCTGTGGAACGTCCTGGAGACAATGTGCAGTTGGATAAACAATGCCAAGCACATAGCAGGCTCTCAATATTCACAGAATGAAAGAATGCAGGAAGGAAGGAAGGAATTAATGGAAGGCAGGTGTGTAGAGAAAGAGACGGGAACAATGAGAAGGTCTGGAGCTCAGGAGACAGATCTAGGCTTGGAATTTAAAATTCCTTTTCCTGTACTTGGCACTTGAAACTCTGGATATAGATGAGATTGTGTAGGGAGAGTATAAAGTAAGAAGAGATAAAGGTTGAGGAGAGAAACCCACAGTGCAGACATTTGAAGGATAGGCAAAGAGAGAGTCCTTCAAAGAGACCAAGAAAGGGTAGGCAAGAGAGGTAGGAAGAGAAACAGGTTGAGGTGTTTCCCCAGGAACAGGTGAAACAAGTTTCCTCTAGAGGAAAAGGGGGTCAAGAGGAAAAGGGGAAACACCTAGCATTTTTCTAAACACCTGCTTTATGCCAGCAACTTTATGTAACCCTTGCTGCTTAATTATCCCCCAAATCCTAAGGAGTATGAATGACCCCATTTTACAGGTGAGAACATTAAGATGCAAAGATGTTATGAGAGTCAAATGGAAGAATTAGCGTAGGAATGATGGAAAAATGCCTGCTCTTCTAAGGAAAGTGGGAAGAGGGCAGAAATGAAGGAAAGCATGAAGGTGGAGAAGGGAAGATTCCAGGGGTTCATGTCTGAGGACATGTTTTCTTTGTGCTCTCTTTCACAGCTCTACCTCAACACCTAGGATCCCAGGAAGGTACTGACAAAGTGGAAGCTGCCTCAAAGGGCAGAGACACTTTCATCTTATTGCCACCTGTGGCCAGTACGGATTCCAAACGACCAGGGGCCAGAGTGGTTTCATCCCAATTTTCTCTTGGCCTGGGGGCCTTCTACATCCATCAGCATGTTCTTTATATTTTATATCCTCATTTACCTTCAATATGTATTTTTTCAGTAGTGGTTTGTGCAAGGAACCATGCAGGAAGGAAATACACAGATGAGTGAGGTAGAGTACATTTTCTTAAAAACTCAGCCCAGTGAAAGACGGAGCCATGGACTGGTGATTTCATTTATCGGTGTTGCGAGTTTGCTCACACAGAGGAATCCAAGACTAACATTGATATTACAGTTCTTTATTAGTTAACAGCTCTTTTTGGTGTTACAGCACTTTATTGCTTGCAAGCAAAGAGAGCACAAGCATCAGGCTAGTGTCTCCCTGAATGACGGAAAGGGGCAGCCTTATATAGCCAAAACTTCCTGCCCAAGTTCTCATTTAGGTCCTCTTATGCAAATGAGGGATGCAAGTCTGTTAATTTGGATTGGTTGGCTATGAGACATAGTTCATTGGTCAGTTCTGGAGCCAAATTTGCATTCGGCTCTTAGGGTGGTGCAAAACCGCTGTTACCTTTTGTTAGCACATGGGTGCAGGAAGCAAGCTAGGTTACAGAAGCTAAAGTTAGTGATTAAGACAGCCAAGCATAAAATTTCTAAAACAGTTTCTCCAGCGGAAGGGGGCAGGTTTAACAATCAGAAAATGCTCAGGGTTCCCTGCTTCATTAGGATGAGTTTTGGCTACGAGTCACAGGAAACCCAAAAAATAGTGAAATAGGCAAGATAGAGGTTTGTTTCTCTCTCATGTAAAAGTCCAGGGAATGGCAGCTATTTGATCATGAGACACCCAGGTTCCTCCTCCTTTCATCCTCGAAATGTACCTTTACGTTCTGTTCCAAGGTGGTTGCTCCTGCCCCTGCCATCACATCATTGTACTAGCTAGTGGGGAGGAGATACGGGGGCAAAGAAGGGCCCCACTCCAATATCACCTTATTTGAAGGACACTTCCCAAAAGTTGCACATGCCACTTCCACTCACATCCCATGGGAAGGTGGGAATTATAGCTTTTTTTTCCGGGTGGCCACATTCTCAGCTAAAAATCAAGTGGCCTGTAACTGTAGAAGAAAGTGGGAAAGTCCAGAAGTTTCTGCCACTGATGCTGAAATAGGTACACAGATAAGATATCTGTGCAAGATTAGAATAAAAGCATGACAAAGAGAATTACACTAAATAGCTCTGTTACTTAACCCCCTGTGCCTCAGTTTCTTCACTTATAAAGTGGGGGTAATAACAGCACTTGCCTTGTGTGTTTACCTAAGTTGTTTCATACATATATACCTACATACCTATGTACATAGGGTAACATAAAAATAGATTGTATTTGTAAGTTCTTAGAACATTCCCTGGCACTTAATAAGTGCTGTATAGGCATCTGTTAAATACAAAGAGTAAAAATAAGCACAGTCAAATGGGAATTTCAAGAGTGTACACATCAGTGGAGAGAATCTGAAAAAGGTTTTATGAAGACATGTACACTGTCAGCTCTGTGATGGCTGGGATGACATCACTCCTTCCCTGGGCACTGCCAGCACGTAGTACGGTGCTTTGCACAGAATAGATGCTCAAAGTATTGGTTCCTGAATAAGCTTCAAAGGTCATTACTACTTCGTTATGTGAAGTAGAGGCAGGAAAGTTATTTTAGGTGGAATTTACCATATGAACGAAGATATGAACGAAGACATAAATGGTGAAAATGCATTGTACCTGGCACAATGGGACAGTGGGAGGAGATGGTGTTACCATGGGAAATGTAGTTTTCTGCAATCCAGAGCGGAGCAGAGAAAGGGCAGTGAAAAGAGCTGAGGGAGAAATAGGCAAATGACCAGCATGAGTGAATTTTGGGGCGTGAGCAGGGGAGTGGTGAATAGAAACCTGTGGTGGCATTACTTTATGGAGACTCTTAAATGTCAAGTCTTAAATGTAGGCATTTCTGCATGTCTCATGAGGCAGAGGTGGGCCATGGAAAGTAAAAAGTGGTGTGGCATTATTAAGACTGTTTTAAGAGGGCTTCCCATTGGGGAGGATGGAGAACATAGAAATAGTAGCTTTCCTTTGAGTACCTGTTCTGTGCCAGTCACAGTTCTAGTCCTTATTTAATCACCTCAGAAAGATGATGTGTCTCATTCTGGATACATTGAATTTGAGATGACTTCATGATACCCAGATGGGCATAGCACACAGTTAATTGAAAATGTGGGTCTAGATAGTGGGGGTGGGGTAGAGATGTAAGGATGGAGAATTTGGGGTCTTCTGAAGAGAGGTAAGAGCAGAAGCTGAAGGAGAGGGAGGACAACATATTGAAAACCAGACAGTATAGAGAAAGAAGATAAGAGGTCAGGCATGGGAAACCAACAATTTAAGTAAGGGACAGAGTAAGAAAATGAGTGAAGGAAATAAGAGTAGATAGGAGAAACAGAAAAGTTCATCTCCCTGCAGAAGCTGAGAGAAGCTTAAACTTCAAGAAGGGGAAGATGAGTAGTGTCAAATAACATTTCCTGGTCAGAAAAACTGAACGCCGAGGGAAAGAAACCCTATTGAATATAGCAGTTGGGATGCATGTGCCAGTTTAAGGCAGGCTTAGTCAGATGGTCCTGGCTGGTTGAGTGAAGTAGGAGATAAGGTAATCTGCTGAGGATGCGAGTGGGAGTTGGGGGGCTCCAGAAAAATGAACATGTCTTGTATATCCTGTGTGCTGTTTGGATATAGAGGCTACCTCATCTTTACTGCTGTACCCCAGTGCTTAAATAATGCACAGGACTCAGTTACTTGTGTTGACTGACTGACTTGCTGAATGAATGAATGAATGAATTTGGTGGAAAGTATTCAGAATTGAACTAAGAGATTATGGAGCAGCAATGAAAACCCAGCTGAGTCAACAGCTTCATGATACTTCCCCAAATCTCAATAATCTGGATTATAAAGAATAGTGGATGTTTCCCTGGCTGGATTGGTAGGTGAGAGTAACAGGAAAGATTACAGAGAATAAGGAGATTAGTGGGATATACAAGCAATATTTGAAATGTCTGACCAATTGGGTCCAGATTGGTTAAGGAAGAAAATGTATCCTAATGGGGATGGAGGATTGAGAGAATAAGGAGTGACTGAAGGGCTTGAGATCATGATTTCATGATGTTTGGCAGTGGGACCCTGGCATCAGTATTTTGAAGCCGCCTCAGGTAATTCCAAAGTGCAGCCAAGGCTGAGTTAGAGGGAACTGGAGGGAGAGCTAACAGGATAATAGATTGGGGTAGTTACAGAGTTCAGAATCTTGACCACTGAACAGTTAGTTTTAGGTAAGGAATCTAAGGCCATGGTAGTGATTGGCTAGGCTGAAGTGGAAATGAGGGTAACTGCAATTGAAGAGATTGAACTTGAACTATAGGGCCATCTGGACTGGAACGTCCTTGACTGAACGTCCTACTTCTGAGGTAAGCTGTGATGGAACAACTTATGTTCCCGTCATCTCCATCCACCATGCCCCACCCTTAATAGGAAAGGCCTGGCTTCAGAGAAGCCCCGAGTCCAGTTTCCCACTTTGTTTGGAAGAGAGTACAACAGGTCTGTGCCCAAATAGGTCAAGAGTGATTGCTTATGGTTTCTGACCTGTTTAATACAGCAACTCTGTTCGTTTATAAAAAATATGGTCCAGTGAACATCTTGGGCTCACATCAATCTGGTTAGCAACTCCTCTTCCCTTAGGAGGGGTAACTAGAAAGGAGGCAGGTGGGAATAGAACTTCCCAAATACCATGCTGAAGCCTTCAGTACCACACAAATGCAAAAGTGTGTGGGTTATATTTTGATTTTACAGCAAGTTCTATGCTGTACCGTTAGACTGAACAACAGTACCATTAAATTGAAGAATTTCAGTTGCTGTCATACTTTAAAAGAAAATGGTGGTGGTTACAAATCATTATGTTTTATGGTAATTTGTTATGCAGTGATAACCAGGGTAAATGTACTACCCACTACTGATCACCCAGACCTAGAATAGTTATGGCTTTCCCACAGTTGGTATTCAGTATTTATTGATAACCCTTTCCATTTCAGAACCCCCCCATGGTTATCTAATTTTAGATTTCATAGTTCACTTGAGATGTTTTATTTCTTTGATAGAACACTGATCTGCTTATGACATTTAATTATAGGTCATACTGTTGACCCTACTTCTTGGAAGCATCCATCCCCTCTTCACTTTTAAAACAAAACATTTCTTCTTCACCTTAAAAATTGTGTAACAATGAGAAGACTTGAATTTTACATTTTAACTAGACAGTTGTTTGGAGAATTAGTTAACTAGAAAGCCCTTTTTGTTTAAACCTTACTCAAAACTTAAAAATATATTAATCAGTTCAATTAAATGAGTACAATTCAATTAAATAAACAATTTTTGATGGTTCAGGATCCTGTCGTAGGTAGTTATTAACACTAGTTGTAATTGCCTGGGAGACTGAACCAAATGAGTACCTCACACATATCCCAGAACTGGTGTTAAAATTTTTTTTTTTTTCATTTTATTTCTAAGAGTTGTATCCTATGATTCTATCCATTACTCAAGGTTTTACTGAACTTTTCTATATGGGCTCCCCCCACACCTTTTCCTTTCTTTTGAAACCCTGCCATTTATTCTCTGGACAGCCAAGTATGGCCTCTAGTATAGCATCCTTGTTATTGGGACCCAAAAGAGACATTTTGTCAGGTCTCAATAGGAATGATGATGTTTCTCTAGAGCAGTTGGTTTCTGTCATACGGTAAAACACTGAACACAGAACTGATTGTTAGATGCTAGGAACCCAGCCCAGAGCCCACCTTTATCAACTGTAGTTAGCTTCACAGCACCTACTTTAACTTTACCCTGGCTTCATTTCTTCCATCATTTTCCTAGCCCTTATTTCCTAGTTGTGTTAGACACTTTAATAAGCTATTTTAAAAGCACTTTGGAACAAGATGGGGTATAAATATAACATTCTTTTAGAAATCTTTCAAGATCTTCTTAGGGTATTTTGAAGGCCTTTTGTGAGCACACTGTACTATAGCAACCCTCTGTACTCTTTATAATGCCTTTCTGGTACTTTTAGTCAGTAAGCCTTAAAATAATTCCAGTAGGTGAAGTGAGGTTAGTGACACAGGCCAAAGTCACTAAAACTTGTCTCTCAACAGTTGCTTTGCTTAAAAAGCAAAAGACAAATTCATCCACTATTCAAATACCCAGATATTTGTAAAAGGCCAGGAGCACTAAAAGAGACTAATACCAGATCCTCATTTTACCCAGTAGAAGACAAAACATAATATTCTTGAAATAAAAGTTTTTCTTAAAAGAATAGACACAGATGCTCCCCTAACTCCACTTATGAATGTTACTATCCGTTCTGCTATTTCTAGGTTGCTTGTGACCCTAAGCAGTAAAAATAAAATATGAGATTTCACATTTACTGAAATCTCAAGTGGTATGCTGGGAAAATAAAGGACCAGTAAATAATGATGTAAAGTAAGCTACAACTCACCAAGAAGCAAGGAGCATTAATAGAAATGACCAACACTTACTGGGTGCCAGAAAGCAGCTCAGCCAGGATGCCTACCTGTGCTATTGGACATGAGATAAAATAGGCCACTTCACCTGGCCAAGTTCAAATTATATTGTTTAATTGTTTTGTTTGGAACACAACATTGAGTCTGGATAAAAATCAATTTTTCCTCCTGTTTCATTCCTTTGTTTTCAACTGTGACTTATACTAGAAATAAAGAGATATCTGTATCCCAACTTCATCAACTTTCTGGATCTGAATTTGCAGCTAATTATAGGGCATTGTCTGTTTATCATCTCCCCCATACCAAATTACATATTAATTACAATATTGTTTATATAGCTTTGATCATTTTTAAAAGTTTTTGAACATGTTATACTTCCTAAATAGCTTTTAATTAAACTTTCTTTAAATAACCAAGCACTGAGAACTCTGCAAAAAATAAATCAACATATTCCAAACAGAAACCTCTATAACAGGGCCAGTCTATGTTAATTTATGTGATGGTGTTAGTTTTCAAAACATCTCTAGTAAATAAATAAAAGGGAGATGTAAATACTGTGGTTTGCTTGGTGAATCTTAATTGCGAAATTTCTTCTTCTTTCGGAACTTTTTTCCTGCTGCATTTGCTGCTTTTTCAGCCATGATTTCTGAGTACTTCCTCCGGTTAAATCTGGAAAGAAAAATAAAATCTTTTATGTTCTAAAGTACAACACATCAGATATTAGAAGTTAATGTAACCTTGGGAAGAAGATTCTAAATCTCAAAATATTTTGCATGTTTACTGTCTGTTCATCACACATGTACTAAGTTTCCACCATGTGTGAGGAGCCATACTAGAAGTTGGTGATAGAGCAGTGGACAAGACAGCTATAGCCTCTGCCCTTACAATCTAGTGAGAAAAAAATGGCAACTGTAATGAGAAGACTTCTGAAAACTTTCAGCCACCAGATACCCGTGTACTATACCTATCTACTAGGCAATGTCAAATGTTCTAAACATTTTTGTGGGATAAAAATGCAAAAACAAGGACTAGGCAAGACAAAAAGTTTATAATTACCTGAAAACATACAATATGATATATATTTGATAGGACCTGAGAAAACATAGACCAATGGTTTTTGAAGTGTGGTCTGCAGACAAGACCCTTTCAAGGGGCCCACTAGGTAAAAATTATTTTCACAAGAGTACTAAGGCATTAATTAATTGCCCTTTTCACCCTCATTCTCTCATGAGTGTACAGTAGAGTATTCCAGAGGCTACATGATGTGCAATATCTGCAGAAGCAGATACGAGTTTCTAAATGTCTGTAATAATTACCAGACATTAAAGAGATTTGCACTAAATTATTTTTATTTTCAGGAAAATATGTTAATATATAAAGGATAATTATTTTAAAATGAGTTAAATATTTTTAAATCATCTGAAATTTTATAAACTTATGCATATTTTAAAGAAAAACACGTTATAAAGTGAAATATAAATTCCTTTACCTTCTGAACTCAGAATCAGCCAGCAATTCTTCCACAATAGTTCTTTTCCTTTGTTTCTTGGGAATTCGTGAATGGTAAAAGTCAGCTGGATTGTCAACAATGGTTCCAATCTATGAACAATTGATTGAAATAAGTCATGCAATACCTGAATCCAAGTTCCTTTCATATCTCACTGCAGCTCTAACAAACATTATACCAATATTAAAGTTAGTTTTGCCATTTTTTTAAGTAAAAATAAATTACCTACTCAGTCAGCACACTGGTGCTACTAATGACATTTCTTCATTAGCTTACAGTAGACCCCAAATTTCTTTTATATAATTAGTGCTAAACAGTACAGTAAATACATGATGAATACTGTAACTAACGGAGAAGAGTAAAACAAAGAATATAAACTTTTTTGTTTCAGTTTCCCAATTCAATGAAACAGACACATAAATTCTACTGCATATCTGTTTGATCTCCTAGGTTATCATAAATGCTGCAAACTTAGAAACTTGGTGGCCACTCTGCATTTGTTCATACATTCAGCCAATTTACAGAGTGCCTACTATGTGCCAGGCACTGTACTAGGTGTCAGGGAAAAACAAAGACAAACATCTGGTCCCTGCTAGTGAGCAGCTTACAGTCTTAAGGAAGATCCAGACAGGTACCAAAAAAATTAAAGCATAACATAATATACACAGAACGAAACACTATAGATGCTCTGACGACCAAGTGACCAATTCCACCTAAAGGAGGTAAGGAAGCTTTGAGAAAAGATATTTTAACTTCGATGTGTATGGGTAAAATTTCATCAAACAAACAAGGAAGAGCCAAGCACATGCAAAGTCAAAGAATGCAATGACTGGTATGTACATGTTCTGAGAAGACTGAGTAGCTGAGTATGTTGGAACTTAAGAAAGCGATATGACTAAAGAAGGGATGGTGGACTAGTTTGGGTGCAGATTATGAAGGGCAAAACTAAGGGGTATAGACTCTACCATATATGTCATAAAGAATCACTGAAGTTTTCTAAGCAGAGGTGTACATGAACAGATTTTTTTTTTTTTTTTTTTGGTAATATGTGACTGGCTACAACATGGAAGATGAACCGGAAGGGAGAGCAGAACTGGAGGCAGAAGACTATTACACTAATCCAGATGACTGACAAAAAAGGTAGTCAAGAAGAACAAAATGAACTTGAGGAGGATAAATCAACTGGACTTTGGAAAACACTTTGAAAGCCAACTTCTTAACTATTTTTCAGAATTTGCCCGGGGATACCCCTCTACCTTGAAAAGAGAAAGAGATTGGTACAAATGACTCCCTCTTTTCCCCCTCCATCCTGCACGGACTCCTGCTCTTATGCTAGTACTTGTCATATATCATATATCGAACCTTATATGTTCACTAAGTTTCAGAGAACTGACCTGGCAACCCAGCTACCACTTCTAACACCCTCTCTCTGTGGGAACCCATTACAAGCTGGTGGCTGTCTGAATTGGGTTCTGGCCATTATTGTATATGGCCTAAGCACATATGGTCCATATGTTAGGCATGCACATTGTAAATATTCATCTATTTTAAGAGTAAACATCACTATAGTGCTTTCCAAACAAAAATCCAGAGAACATCTCTACTACTATGTTTCATACCTGGAAGTACTTAGGAAAGCCATCTCTATCATTTTTCTTGTAAAACCTTTTTGGGTCCATGCTTGCTCTCATCTTCAGTGCTTTGAGGTCATTTTTCAGTTCATCTGTCAATTCTGGAGCTTTCATACCAAACCAGCCATCCCCTGCAGTTTTCTGTCGCTCTTTCTGAAATTCAGATTTCAAAAATAAATGTTCCAACTTCAGTAAGCTGAGAGTATACATTATAACTCGTTTCTCCCAAAATTATACAGAAAATTTTGTAAATTAAAAACAAGTGGTTGCTTTATGTAAAGCATTTACCTCCAGGATTATCTTTATAAAGGGAAGTAAATCACAAAAAGTGATTTCTCTGGTAAATTAGGCACGACGCTATCAATTTCATGAATAAGGGCTCTTCAAAATCTATTTTGTATCTTAGCAAGTAAATGCTGACTTGCTGGGAGAAGAACACACAGCTTCAATTTTTATTGTCTTAAAATAGCCCATGTATAGAACATTTTCACTTCTGGAGTTTATATGTAAACACTAACATTTTTATTCAGTCACCCAGGTGTCTCAGAAAACCACTCACTCCAATAGTCCAGAAATTTGTATTATTTCTAAAGTAAAATAAAAACTATTATTTTTTGGAAAACTTCTAGCCAGTTATATGTTTAATTTTATTTTGTTTCATTCATACCACAAATATTTATCGAGTGCCCATCATGTGCCAGGGTTTTTCACATTAGTGACATCACTGGAGTACAATCCTCAACTTTCCTCCAAGCTCTCTTGGTAACTTCTTTATGCTTATTAGTTGAAGTAGCAAAGTAGCAGAAAGAAGCAATTTCCAATATTTTACTAAATTCATTTGGCAGACTAAATAGACTAAGGTTTTTAGCTGGCTACATTAAGTTCTCTACAGTAGTCTGCAACAGAGCCCCTAACCTTTAGTAAACACTACCTATAAACAAAGAGATGTGAACAGTGACCCTATATGTTGGCTATAACTGTTTTTTTTTTTTTTTTGTCTTTTTCATGACCAGTAAGGGGATCGCAACCCTTGGCTTGGTGTCGCCTGCACCACACTCAGCCAGTGAGCGCACCAGCCATCCCTACAGAGGATCCGAACCTGTGGCGGCAGTGTCGCTGGGCTCCTAGTGCCGCACTCTCCCGAGTGCACCACGGGGTCAGCCCAGGCTATCACTGTTTTAAGGCAGATTAAGAACAGCTATACCTATGTGCACCCCTGTGGCTGCAAAGGTGAAAATTCATACAAAACATGTTTATGGAACCATATTTTATTGCCCTTAGATATCTGTAATAATTTTCTTTGGAACCACATACAGATCGATAGATATAGTTTAATTGTATAGCCATGACATATGAGCTGAAAATATATAGTCAAACACATCTAAGCATTCTAAATGATAAATCACCGTACTTACTCTGCGTTTTTTCTGAAGTTGACACTTCGATTCACTATATGGTGGGACACAGTAGTTTTTTTCAAAATCAGGTGTAATGACGGCTTTCCGCAGAAGCTATAAAAACATAAAATTGATTTTAAAATAATGTCAGAATGTTACATAATTTTTTCAACATTTTAAACTTTCATCTTTTCCTAAATGACTCCTGAATTTTTTGTTACTTGCCTAAGCTAATTAATTAAATAGTCTCACAAAACTGTGTGATTAAAAGGAACCCGGGGTAGTTAATATTTTTCCCAGTGCAAGAACCAAACAAAATTGCTCTGTAGCCCTCAAAATAGTTCACACAGGAATATAGCTCAAGCATTAATTTGGCAATGACATTTTAAATTATCAATTCAGAAATTAACAGATACCAAGGTAAAGGGTTGGATTCCCTTACTGGCCAGCCCCCTCTCCCCTAAAAGACACTACCAGTCAGTCACTCAATCTCAGTTCGGGCCCAGACGTTTCTGACTGGTATAGTAGCAGTCTAGGTTTTCCTACCACTCAGAAAAGAGAGCATGACATTTACTTAACAGATGATTAAGAGCTTGCTGTGGGTCAAGTACTATACTAGGCTCTAGACAGTGGTTTTCAACTGGGAGCAATTGGCAATGTCTGGAGAAAATTTTGATGGCGAGGGGAAACGAATACTGGCATGTAGTGGGTAGAGGCCAGGGATGCTGCTAAACATCCTACAATGCACAGAACATTCTCCCACAATTAAGAATTATGTAACCCAAAACGTCAGTGGTGCTGACATTGAGAAATCCTGTTTCAGGAACACGAAGACAGAAGACAGTGAATTAATGATTACATCACATGATCAATAATGAATCAGATCTACACTAGGTGTTACGGAAACAGAGAGGAGGAGGGAGAGAGGGAAAAAAAGGGAGAAGTGGATCAAAGAATGTTTCCCAAGAGCAGTGACCCATGATCTCTGCACTGGCCTGGAAAAGAGCAGGATACGTTCAGGGAACTACAGTAGTCTTCAATGGCAAGAATACAGCAGGTGGAGAACAGTCAGGGCTAGCAGTTGAGAGGCACCTTTAAGGCTCTGAGGAAACATTGAAGGACTTAAGCAAGAGAATACCACGTCAGACTTGTGTTTTTACAAAGAGAAATCTAGTGGGTGTATATAGGATGGCTAGAATAACAAAGAAAATGGAGACAGGATCAATAAGGAGGTTACTGGAGTAGTCTAGATGAGAAATAAAGGCCTGCAGTAGCTGCTGAAGGTGGCTTGAAAAGGAGGGAATAGGGAAGCATTATCCGCCAGGCTTGATGACTGACTGCAAAAGGGGAAGAGATTTTGGTGTCATTAACCAAGATAGAGAATACAAAAGAAGGTAGTTCTGGCAGGGAAGAGAAAGGAATTAGTGAGGTCAAGTGCCTGAGTGCATCTAAATGGACAAACAGGCACTTGGATTTTAAAGTTGATTATGCTTTCAAAGTAAAGACGTATCAAGGATAGAAAATACAGATATAGGAGAAAGCAGTGCAAGGTGTTAGCTAAAGCTAAGGGTTTGGGTAAGATTACCCATACAGTAATTCCTTCTGAAATGATATACAAAATTTTATGTCTATATGCACATGTGCATTTTTTCCTGGTTGGGGAGGCAGGTACTCAAGTTTTCAGATGCTCAACAGGGTCCAGAACAGTTAAGAACTATAAGTATAGCACAAAAAGAGAATGGGATCATATCTGGTAAGTGCATGAAGGGGAATACCGGTCCTGTATTAATTTATTTTTCAAACATTGCCTTTTATAGATAGGACTCTATTAAAAAAAGAAATAATTATTCTAAACAGAGGGAAAAAAGGAGCACAATAGGCCAATTTCACTTTAGGACAATTAGTCTTTTACCAAAGACTAATCATTTCTAGAAGTGATTGGTTACTTCTATGAAAACTTAACAGGACACCTCATGTAACTTACCTCACTTTTCTTTTTCTCCTTGATCTGTGTTAGGGTTTTCTTATTAGACTGCAGTTTGTCTGCATTGAAATTAATATACAAACCACCCAACTGCTTGATACTTAGACCAGGGTCTATGCTGCTGCTTGTCAACTTTAGACTGAAAGAGAAATTATCATTAAAGATCAAGTAATTAAATCAAAATGGAAACAAATTAAGGTTACACTTTAAAAATCACTTATTCTTCTCTTCCCTTATACTGTCAATGATAAAGGCATCATTTTTGCAATGAAGTTCCAAAAAAACTGAATAAATACGTATTTTAAATCTAGTGAAGTCATTTGGAAGAAACTCTGGGATGAATAATGAATTCAACAAAAAAGCCTTTTGGGAACACATACAAATTTATTCCCCAGATTTTCTTAGAGGATTAAGGCCATGTAATATGCCAAAAGATTTTATAAAGAAAAGAATTATAGAAAAGGGGAGGAGGGAATACACCTGGTATTTCAGCTCAACTTCATATACAGGCAGTCAGTTAATAAATATACATATCTCCATCTCTAAACCAGTGAGAAAAAAATAAAACCAATGAGAAAGATGAGTTCTTCTACTCTGACCTTCTAAGTTATTAAAACTTAGAACGTTTTCCTGGGTGACTAAGGGTATTTGGTAGTGTGTCTAAATCAATGAGTCTTAAACAGCAATGAGCATCCATCCCACAGCTGAGTGTTTTAAAAATATAAATGTCATACCCCAGACCTGCCATATCAGAATTTTCTGCAGTTGACCTGAGCTCCTGTTAAATTTATGTAATGAGAATTTCTACTTTATACTACTGAAGGGTCCTTTTTATAAGTAAGTATGCTTGGTCTTATAGGTCACTTCCTTCCCTAATTATTCATATAAATTGAGTAGTTGAAAGCATAATCAACTTCTATTGGTAAGTGAAAACATTCCATTATAGTGCCTTGACAGTAATTCTTAACACTATGTGCACATTAGAATGAACATGGGGAGGAGTGTGGCTTTTAAAAAATAAGTATGCTTGAGCCTAGCTTAAGACATTTATTTCATTGGTTTAGAGTAAAGACTGGGTATCTGTTAATACATAGCTCCTTACAAGGCTGGCTATATTCCCAATGTTGCCACCAGGGACCTATGCCTAGGAAAAACAAGTTTAAAACAAAAATAAAGAAACTAAAAAAAAAGCCACAAACAGCGCCTTTCAATGGATGATGAATGGGATTATAGGTGATTATCATACTTTTCTTTTCTTTTTTTTTTTTTTGGCAGCTGGATGGTCAGGGTATCCAAACTCTTAGCCTTGGTGTTATGAGAACCAGCTGTCTTTTCTATGTTTTTTAATTCCTGTACAATTAACATGTAGGAAAAAAACCAAGTTACTTTCCTCTCCCTTTTATACTGCAGAAAAATCTTAATGACTTGTAATATATCACCAAAAGGAGCATTTTAGGGGCCGGCCCGGTGGCGCACTCGGTAGAGTGCAGCGCTTGAGAGCGCAGCGGCGCTCCCACCGAGGGTTCGGATCCCATATAGAGACTGGTCCGCTCACTGGCTGAGCGCGGTGTGGGTGCGACACCGAGGGTTGCGATACCATTACCGGTCACGAAAAAACGACAAAAAGGAAAAAAAAAAAAGGAGCATTTTAAGCTGTCTTCAGTGAAAAAATAGGACTAACAACGGTACTCACAAAAACGACGGAAATGCTGAATAGAAGAGCTCTTCCATAATGCAAGGCAGTAATTTTCTCAGTTCTCATACTTTCTAATATTTTGTATTTTTATTGTAAATGAACTACTTGAAATATATATGAAAAAGTTAATTTTAAAAATAAAGGTAAAACTTACAGTTTAGACTTTGTGCTATTTAGTAAGTCATCTTCATCACTAAACTCACTATCTTTATTTCTGTCACTGTCTGATGGTTCTTCTTCACTTTTTTCTTCCTCTTCCTCCTCTTTTTCTTCCTCAGGGGAAACCTCACTTGCTTTGTCTTCCTCTTCCAAGTAAAAATTTTTATCAGTACTCAATCCAGGAGTTGTGTCAATTACAAACAATGTATTGTCACATGACGTATTTCCCAAGTCTCCACTCAATGATTCCCTTTGGCCACTATTTTCAACAAAACACAAAGTGTCCTCTTCATTTTCACTGTTTTCAGACTGCTGGCTTTCATCACTGCTGAGAACTAATAAAACGGAATCATCTTTATCCTGAGATGTGTTGAGCTCAGATGTGTATAGTGTGGTATCACAATCTAAATTCCTTTCACTACTCATGTCGTTGCCTACACCTATAATTGAGGACTCTTTATCATCATAACTACTACCACAATCCTCAACCTTTGTCAAGTCACTTGTTTTTATGGTACTTTTTCTCTCTTCATCCCATCTGTCCACTTCCACAACTGCGAATGTTTGAGCAAATGATTTCATTACAGCCTCACAGTTCAGATTTGAGGGCTCTGATGTGATTTTGTCATTTTGGGGGGTCAAATGCCCTCGAAAAAAAATCTCCTGTAGTTCAGAAAGACTCAGCTGAGAATTCTTATTCATTTCTTTTCTCTCATCTATTATCACACTGGCCTCTTCATCCGAAGCCTTACAATTCTGCTTGCTTATTTCTTCGAGAGATGTAACATTGTCCTGCTTTTCCCCTCTTACATTAAAATGTTGGCGTTTCTGTACCATTAGTATTTTTTCTGAACTTCTGTGGAAGGAATCATCATCAAAGTCATTAAAAATTTCATTGTTACAGAAATTTGGCTCATTTATCTGAGAAAGAGATCTTGCTTGTAAAAGAGAAGTGTATCCAGTATCTGAATCCTCTGAATTCATAAGTATATCCATGATTTCATTTCCTGGTACAATCTTAGTATCTGTCTTCTCAGTTTGTGCCTGTAATTTCCTCTGCACACTCCTGGTTCTCCTAGTTGCAATTCCAGAAAATGAAATGTCTGAGCACGATGACTCAGCATCAGATATACCTTCCGTGTGTGATTTGTGGCTTGGATCTATTATAGATTTAGCCTTACTTCTTTTGGTTCTTGTAGGTATTTCTGTGGAATTCACAATTCTAGAAATACCTGAAACATGAGATTCTGCTTCAGAGAGGACTTCTTCAGTATGAGAAGGAGTTATTTTTGGCCTTTTCCTGACACTGGACACAGGGGTGCATGAAATTAAGATCTGCCTTCTCCTAGTTATTCTAAAAATGGGTTCCTGGAGCTCAGACACAGAAGAACAATTTGACTCTGCTTCAGAGATTTCTCCATTAGTAGATGGTTCGGCTTTCTCTGGTAGTAAGACTGTAGTTCTGCTTTTCCTCTTAATGGTTTTAGGAACTTCAGGTATTGAACTTTTCCCCCCAGGGGTCTGTGATTCACCAGTACCTCTGTCATCAGATCCAGATTCCTTCCTGCTTTTTGGATGCACTTGAATCCCTTTAGCTGCATAACTCTGCAAGCCAGAGAAAACACAATTTAGGTAGGGCTGGAACAAGAGTAAAGTCAATGAGGCATCGCCCCCAGGAACAAAATTTAAGAGGGTACTAAAAAAAACCCGAGTAAACAAGATTATTACAAAAAACAAAAACAAAACCCCCATGATTTAAAAAAATTAAAAAAATTTAAATACCGGATCCGACCCTGCATTTGCTTCTGTAGCCTCAACCTAGTCCTGGATCTGACTTCAGGAAGCAGAACAAATAAGTGAAAAGAGAATTTCTCAAAGTCAAACATGCTACGTGGACCAACATTTTGACCCACATATAGAGGAAGAGGGGAGAAGGGGAATACTAAGTCTGAGCAAAGATGTGTTCGGAAACACGAGGAGAATGGGCCGCTGCACTAGAGAACTGCTCTGTTCCCTTCATCGCAGAATCGCGAGGCAGAGGACGTTTAGAGCCACGGAGAGCCACCAGGCGGGGTCACCACAGCCCCCCCCCCCCCCCAAGTGAAAACGATGCCTTTCTCTCCAACCCCGCCAAATTTCAGTAAAGTTAAAAGGCCGAGCCGTGTATCTGAATTAAGGAGCTGAACGACCCAAAACAAGTTGCGTAACTTCTCTTCCATACGAAGAACTGCCTTAAAGGACAGTGATGAGGACTGAACAGTTTCCGTGACAGGATTAGCGCGAGGCCTGGAACACCGCAGCACGGCAAGCTCGGGCTCTCGCCATCTGTCGTGCTCACGCTCCGCGGGACCTTTGCGCCGCTCTGAGAAGCGGCGAGCGGAAAAGGTAAGACTTGGGATCTCCTACCTCCTGCTGGGAGCTTTCAGCCGATGGGGCTTGGAGCCCAGCCCGAGAGCGTGCGGACCTGGTGACCACCATCTTGCCGGCTTCCGGCTTCCCGGCGGCCACCGCGACTTACCCCTGTTCCGGCGCCCCGGACGTGCGTCAGAGGAGTACCTTCCTCGAGTTTTCCGCGCAGATCCCGTAACTGGCGAGAATCTCATACTTACCTTCGTTCCGCCGATTCAGGCTGGCCAGCCGGAGACGGAAGCTCTCCAGGGCCAAGGGTTTTAGCGTTCACTTTAGTGCTGTAGAAGGAAAACCATCCTTTTGCTGGGAGAGCTTCTTAAGGGCAGCAAAACCCGCAGTGACAGAGGGCTTTCGTTGCGTTTCACACAAATTGGAAAATCGCATCTTCTGCCCCACTTTCCATCCGTCCTCTCATTTGTTCAGTAATTCCGAAGGTCTTAATGTAGCCATGGGTGTGGCCAAGGAAGTTGTTTGCGTTATTTATACCTTAAAAAAATGTAATCCGCCGAGCCCGTGGCGCAAGTGCGGAGCTGGGAGCGCAGCGTTGCTCCCGCCCTAGTTCGGATCCTATATAGGGATGACCGGTGCGCTCACTGGCTGAGCGTGGTGCGGGTGACACCAAGCCAAGGGTTGCGATCCCCTTACCGATCACAAAAAAGGGAAAAAAAAATGTATTCGTATATTTGTGAAGTTAAATATAAACCAAATAAAACTTAAAGACTTGGTTGGGGTAAGGTTGTATGTTAAGTGCCTCAGGAACTTGGAGATTATTTAGGAAGCTATATAATCTAAATGTGAGATGGTGTTTAGGAAGTGGGAATAAAGCAGAAAATGTGAAAGGAAGTGTAAAGGAGCGACACACACACACACACACACACTCACTCACTCACACTTGCTGTGAAAGGTAGAGAATGACCAGAATCAGAAGTTTTGGGTTTTCTTTGAATGAAAGAATAGAGAAGGTGAATGAAAGAATGAAAGGTGGAGAACGAGAGTATGTTTGAGGGGATGGAAAAAGATTGAAGAATACAGACAGTCCTGATTTACAAGATTGATTTACGATTTTTCGACTTCAGGATGGATGGGTTTATCCGGATAGTAAAATGCATTTTCGACTTACCATATTTTCCACTTACATGGGTTTATCGGGAGAAGTGGAGGAGAAGGGGCGAGTGCCTCCCCCTCAGTATTCTCTCCTCTACTTCTTTATAACGGAAAATGAATTTTTTCCTTAAAGTCACAGGGCACAAATTACACGGCGGACACATTGCCTCCCAGCTAAGTAGCTCCTTTTATAGTTTCCCTTGCAGCCACATGTGGCTAAGTGAGAAAGTTTTGGCCAATTACATATAAATTGTTGTGTAGTTCTTTAGGGATATAGTCTTAGAAAGAAGTAGGTCCTCCCTGATTTCTTAACCTTCATTTTACTTCCTGGAAGGTTGTATTCTCTGGTTTTCAGGCAGCACTTTTGTGCCATGGGGATGGATGTGGGCCATGCTCTACAGGTGGTATAGCAATGAGAAGGAAAACAACACGAGTTCCTGCAACTTGTGGAGCTGCTGTATCAGAATAGTATACATGGAGATTTCTTTTGCTTGAGAGAAACACCTTTTCTAAAGCCACTTATTTCAGTATTTTCTATTTGTTGTTGAGCCTAATTTTAACCAAAGAACTGAATAAAAAATAGAGGTGGAGGCGTTAGCCACAGAAGAATGCACCTTTCTTTGGAGCAGGAGGGAAGAGTTAATATTTGAAGAAGCGGGGAGAATGTAAATGCAATGGAAATTAAAGTGAAGAGAAGAGGAGTGGATTTTGCGTAGATAACCTTAATCTTCTCTGTAACTAGAAGGTGATTCATCTCAGAAGAATGAAAAAGGTTTAGACTGACTCTTGTGGGAAATGTGGTAAGGAGCAAAAAGAAGAAATTTTAGTAGGGCCAAGTAGCTGTGAAACTATAAGATGAACGGGAGAGAAAATAGGCTAGATTTGAAGAGGTGAATGGTGTGGAGGAAGGAAAGGGAACCAACTGGAGGTAGTGGAGATAAAAGCAGCAGAGAGCAGCATCATCAATCATAATAATAGAATTGAGCACTATACTATGTGCTGGATACTAGTCTAAGTGCTTTACAGGTATTCACTCATTTAATCTCTACCACTTTAACTTGAGCAAATGCATGCAAACAAATTAAGATGATAAAGGTGGATGTAGGAAATTGGGAGAATATAGAAAATTATTCAGTGTGTATGATTCACTTATAAGCATTGCCCCTTTCAAGTAAAAAAGAGAGAGAAAGAAAGAGAGAGAGAGAGAGAGAGAGAGAGAGAGAAAACAACTCCCAAACATTAACAATCTAAGGTCAAGAAACAAATAAAATACTAAAATTAGTAATTCTCATATCACGAGAAGACTGAGATAGTCTATCAACAGGTCTGCTGACCATACGCAAAAGAGTATTCTGTTTTTGTTTTACGTGGCCTTACAAGGTCTGCCCTGCTCTTTGCCCACCCTCTTCTTTACCCAAAGTGGATTTCGGGCAAATACAGTGTATCCAGTTTTAGGTAAACACAGTTTAAAAATACAGCACTATTACTTAGGCCCAAAGGGAAACATTGCCTTTTTCTTTTTTCTTTTTTACTAATTAAACCCTTAAACTAAAGGGTCAAATCTCTCTCTGGAATTTTAGTACAGTTTAAAAATACAGCACTATTACTTAGGCCCAAAGGGAAACATTGCCTTTTTCTTTTTTACTAATTAAACCCTTAAACTAAAGGGTCAAATCTCTCTCTGGAATTTTAGGCATTAATCAACAGATGAGAGACTTCTATTAAATACGTACTATTCGTGTTCATTCTTCATTATTACATTTAAAACATTACATTTAAATTAAGTTTGACCTGTAACATGGTGCCCAATGAGCACATTTCTTGGTGTTCAAACCCTTGAACATGGGCTTAGTGACTTATAATGAAAGGAATAAGACAAAAATGATGTGTGTCACTTTGAAGATTAGCCATAAAAAAGCCTGGCTTCCACCTCGCTTTCTATCATTCATTCTGTGGGAAGCTAGTTGCATGTTGTGAGTGGCCTATGGAGAGTACACGGTGCCAAGGAACTGATGGAGGCCTCTGGCCTGTAGCCCATGACGAACTGAGTCCTTCCAAAAACCACATGAGTGAGCTTGGAAGCAGACCAACCCTCAGTCAAGCCTTTGGGTGAGACTGCAGTCCTGTCTGACATTTTGCAACCTTTTGAGTGACCCTGAGGCACCCAGATGCAGCGATATAGTAGTTACTATAAATTTTGTCCTTTAATTTCATGTAAAAGAAATAATAATGTACTCTTTTGTATCTAGCTCCTTTCTCTCAGTATGCTTCTGAGATTCATCCATGTTACTGTGTATGCCAGTAGTTCATTCTTTTTTATTATTGAGTGGTATTCCATTGTATGACTATATCACAATTGATTTTACCCATTCAATGGTTGACAAACGTTTAGGTTGTTTCCTATTTTCAGCTATTATGACTAAAGCTGCTATAAACATTAATGTATGTCTTTTCTTGGACATGTTTTTATTTCTCTTGAATAAATACCTAAGAGTGGAATTAATTGCTGGGTCATATGGTAAGCGTACTTTTAATTTTATAAGAAATGCTATATTGTTTTCCATAATGGCTGCACCATTTTATATTCCCACCAGCAATAAATGAGAGTTCTGCTTGTTCCAAATCCTCACCAATATTTGGTATTGTCGGTTTTTAAAATTTGCAGCTATTTTAGTGATATCTCATTATAGTTTTAACTTGCATTGCTTTGATTACTAAAGATGTTGAGCATCTTTTAATGTTCTTATTGGCTATTCATACTTCATCTTTGGAGAGAAGGCTGTTCTACTCTTTTGCCTATTTTTTTATTGGGTTACCTTATTAAGTTGTAAGTTCTTTACACATTCTGGATATAAAACTTTTATCATATATCTGATTTGCAAGTATTATTATTCTACCATTCTGTGGGCTGTCCATTCACTTTCTTGATGGTGTTCTTTGAAGTGCAATTTAAAAAAATTTAATTATGTCCAATTTATTTTTCATCAGAAATATATATTGCAAATATTTCTCTATGACTTCCATTTTCATTTTCTTGTCTTTCAAAGATTTAACTTTTGATTAAGTCCAGTTTATTGATGTTTTCTTTTATGACTAATGTGTTATTAGAATGCTTTACAGCCAGTTTAAATTTTCTTGCTTTGTTCTAATTACATACACATCAAAATAAATCAAAATTTTCAATTAAGAAAGAAAAAAAAGGCAACCAAAGACAGACAGGACAGATTACTTATAAGGAAATCCAGATTTTCATCAGCAAGTGTATATATGCTGGAAGCCATGGAATATTATTATCTTCAAGATGCTGAGGGAAAATATTCGGGAACTTAGAATTCTATAATGTCAAATGATCATTTAAGATTGAGTGTAAAATAAAAACATTTTCAGACAAACAGAACCTAGAAAATTTACTACCCCAAAGACCTTTGGTGAAGAATTACTAAGGACATACTTAAGCAAGAAAAAAGTGAACTTAACAGGAACAGAATGCAAGAAACAATGGTGAGCAAAAGTAACAGGGAAAAGAGAGCTGAATCAAAATAAGTAATGCTTATTGTAAAACATTAACCTTCTTAAAATGGACGAACAGACACACCAAAATCTGTTATGACATTTTATACCATTTAGTCATTGCTGAGGAAACACCTTAAAGATTTTGTTTGACTTCTCTGGTAGTAGAACTACATACGGCCATATCCCAATATAGAGGGGAGTTGGGCAAGTTTGGTCTCTTATAAAATATGACTTTTTCAACTTTACCTACTCTTGTCTCAATGAAGCCACTCCTTTTTATCTGATAAGAATAAGCTTTGAAGAAGGTGTTTTCATCAAGTTTATGAAGTTTACATATAAACTGCTTCATTATTCAATAAAAGCATAATATTTACAAACCAGGCAAACAAGGGCCCCTGCCCCAAATGCTCACTATGCATTGACCTCTAACCGTACTTTAAAGCTAATTTCTTCAGGAAAGGCTTTCTTGTCCTTACCCTGCTACCCACCCCCACTTCCTTCCACATGCCCCCATTCCTTTTTACCATTTCTGTCATTAACATATGCAGCCTTTTATTGCCCTTATTCATGTACATATCTCCCTCTCTCCCTGATATGCCTCCTGAAGACAGGGGTTGTTTTTCATCTGTGTCCATCTGCAGCACCTTGCACAGTGCCTAGCACGTTGTAGACATTCAATAAATTTCTGTTAAGTGAATGAATGCATGAATAGCTATATGGCTTGAATATTTAAACATTATTCATAATTTATTTTCAAATCATACTCAATTTAAGTTCAAATATTTCAAAATCAATATAATGCTCCAAGATGCTTCCAACTATCAAAACAGTGCAATTTGAAAATATGCAACTCACACTTTAGTTAAATTCACGATATAAAGTTAAAAATTATTAGGTTAATGTTTTATATTTTGCTTTTATTTATAGTATACCACTACAGACATATAAGAAAAAGTAGAATTATCTGATTAGAACATTTTCCCTTCGTAAGTGTATTTCTAATTCTGAAAACTATAAAAATATTAATGAAAATCATGTTATATATTTTTCAAAAATAAAACTAACATATTCCATTATCACCTTTACAGGAAAAAAACAAGATACAAATTCTGTTACATTAGGAAGTTAATGATGAAAAAAATAGGTTCAGAATCATAAGTTGGTGCATATGAATATGAAAATACAAATGGTTTAAATTCTCATTAAAACAGCTTCACATTTCTCTAAATGTACATTTGGCAGAAAGATGAACTGTCAGCCGATATACAATAAATGTATCAATTGCTTACATTCCCAAACATTGAAAATACTGGGTGGAAAATGTAGAAAGAAACCTTACAGAAAGAGACATACTTAAATGAGCCTTAGACCTTTTATCACTGAGAATCAAGATCCTAATTTTAGTTACTACTTGGCTCTGATATGGAAAAGTCTGAACCATTCATGCAAAACAGAATAACTTTATTTTCTATCTTACACATAGCTGTCCAAATGATCTTTTTCGAGAACTGAGAAATTATTATCTATTGTGATTCAAGTTCTAGCACTGGCCATCCCTAAAGGGATCCTCTATTAATGTACTGGCATAATGTGGTCTTTGGAATTTACATCATGTGAATGTATTTCATAAGACACCTTGGTTCTTCTGGTGACTACAGTTTCTTGGATGGAAATTCAAGATAGACCCAGTACAGGACAAATTCCAAGTTACAGTACATTGTTTTAAAGTAAGGCTCCAGTGTATTCTGGAAGTATAATAACAAGCTACAGCTTCTTTTTGTATTCACTGGAAAACAACAATTATATAAACTCTTTCTATCTTAGGTCACCGAATTCACATCTCCCTAGAAAACATATCTGTTATATACACTACTGATAAACTTAGCTTTCAGTTTTAACCAATTATTTGGTAGAATTACCACTCTTTATTTTATGGCTTCTTAAACATTAAATTCTTAAATATTTGAAAAGTATTCACTATATTCTGATAGTTCATGAAAAAAGATGTGAACATTAGCTTGGAAAATTATAAAGCCTTAAAGTGCACGTGTTACATTTGGTGGTTATGTCTCTTCAGACTTAATTTTGGTTAAGCAGCCTCCTTCACTGCTTACCCTATGCCTTTGGTTTGTTGTTTAAACAGGGTCAGTTTTCTTATAGGCATGCTATGTTCTGTATTTGCTTATTTGCTTCCTTGTGGTATTAAACTGTTTCTTTGTACCCCAAAATATACTTCTGAATTGGAAAAAAAATAATTTTTTAAAAAAGGCTATTCAATAACAAATTCAGGGAACAGAGGTGGAACCAAAAAACCCACTTAAAAATTCCACACATGATCCCCTTCACAAAAATGAATCTATAATCTTCTTTCTTTGTTAAGAATGGGGAGTGAGGAGAGATCACAAAAAAGCTTCAGAAGTTTAGATATATTAGCAACATTAAGTTTTTACCCCCATTTTCAAAATAATCCTTCAAACAATCCATTTTTATAAGCCCAGGGTTTTAAAAATCAATAAATGTGATATTAAAGTTCTCTCTTAAAATATCTTGGTGGCCAATTCACTGTATAGATTTAAAATAAAATCAGCATTTGTTTAAGGACTTATGGTATATGAGAAAATATACATTTCCAAACTTAAAAGTTAACTATATATATTTAATAACATTACATACAATTATTATAAAGGCTAGATGTCTTTAAGAAGCTCAAAGTCTAAACAAGGTAGCAGGTAAATCAGATGATTTCACATTATAATTTTTTTTCCACATTATAATTATAATCAAATTACACCATCAGTAAACCACAAAATACTACTGAGGAAAAGGGTCTACTGTATTTATTTTGAATCTGGACCATAGCTCTTTTCCCTAAATTGAGAAAACTTGAGCAAAATTAGTTTTACATAGACCCATGGTTTAAAAATATTGAGATACAAGAGATTTTTAAAGAATTTTTGAAACTATTTGGGTTACAGATACAAATTTATAGAATTAAGGAGAACTATAGTATGTGTCAAAGGTCACAGCTTATTTACTTGCAATTTTCTGGTCTTTAAACCAATGAGGGTTTATACTAAATGACTTATAGCCTCTTCTAGCTCTAAAACGTTGATTATATTTTTCTGTTTCAAAATAGTTAAGACCATATCTTAAAGAAAGTTGTCTAAAAAGACAATGTTAGGCTGGCTGGTTATCTCAGTTGGTTGGAACACAGCCTTACAACCCCAAGGGTGATGGGTTTGGATCCCCATACTGGCCAATAACAAAAAAAACAAAAACAAAAACAAAAAAATAATAAAAAGATAATGTTGGCCCTGAATTAAAGATTTTTCTCACCCCTTTTCTGGCTTTTATTCCCTCCTAGTCAATTATTAATGGAGAAAAAGTATCCCATATCTTACTGAACTGATTCTTAATCCCTGGCTCCATGCCCCCTCCTCTCCTCAGAGATCAGAGTGCCTAGCTCAAGGTAGGTGCTTAATACTTACTGAATGTTCTTGAATGAGTAGCAATATTCTAAGGATGGTTGAGAATTAAAACGAATCTGGAGGTGATAGTAGTTGCTTTTATAAAACCCCCAAACAATAATTTCAAAGCTCTAGTCTCCTTTTCAGATTTACGTTGGTTTGTCTTTATGGCTAAACTATAAGCAAGGACACATAAAAATTTTAAATTTCCATTCATGTACTGAAGAATGAATTTTATTTATACTACCAGTAAATTCCAGCTACTCCAGTTACTCTGAGATATAATTATTTTATTAATGACAGGAAAAAAATCTTCTAGTATTTCAGTTTTAACAATTGTAATTAAATTGCTTAGTTATACTATAGAGTAAGAAGCAATTAATGAATTTTTTTGGAAATAAAAAGTATGTATATACATTACCCTGATGCCCAGGCCAAAATATATCTAACAACAAATTTTCTTGATTTCTATTAGTCATAAAAATAAAGGAAAAATATATTGCAAGTATTTTATAGACAATTTCAATTAGAAAACAATAGTTTAATGAAAACAATACAGTGGTTCATGTGAGTGGATTGATATGGAGGCAAGAGAAGTATCCCAAACTTGACAGACAACATACTGTCAAATATAACTAAAAAATATCTGCCTCAATGACACCATTTACAGGCATAACTGGATTTTTACACTTTTCAATTTTATCTTATATTCAAGGAAAATACAGGTCAGTAGGTTATGATCCTAAGTTGTAGTTAAGAACCCCTTCTTTTAGCCTGTAAAATGTAACCTTTTGATTTGATAATTCCTCTACTTTTCACAATGACTGAATACCGCAGTAGCCACAGTGGCACCCACTCGTGTGCTTGAATGTCAGGGATGCTATCCTGAAGAGCTTCTTGGAAACTCGCTTCAGAAAGCAGCTCTAAAACAACAGAGCAAACAAAACCCCAAAGTGTTAAATTCAAAAACAAAAGCACTTTATTATGTACGTAAGCTCATCAAAAGAAACACCTCAAAGCTGAATACAAAATATGCTTATCTTTCATATGTGCTATGAATCTGAAGCAGAATATCAGAAACACATAGGTAGTTCTTTAAAAAGTATCTAAACCTGTACCCCAGCCTACTTAATGCCTAATTTCTAATGAGTGGAGCCTGGACATTTGTATTTTTAAAAGGACTTCTAAGTAATTCTAATATACAGCCAGGCAAAATACAGAAAAGCATAAATAAGAAAAAAAAAAAAAAAACCAGTCACTCATAATCTGATTAACTGGAGATAACACACCATTTCCACTGTCACATATTTCCTTACAACTTTTTTTCTCTGTGTGTGTGTATATCTCAATATATATATCCATACCTTATACCTGTATACAGTCATGCGTTGCTTAATGACTGGGATATATCCAGAGAAACTGTTAGGTGATTCTGTTGTGCAAGCACGATAAGGTGTACTTACACAAACCTAGATGGTATAGCCTACCACACATCTAGGCTACATGGTATAGCTTATGGCTCCTAGGCTATAAACCTGTACAGCAAGCTACTGTACTGAATACCATAGGCAACTGTAACACAACAGTATTTGTGTATCTAAACAAAGAAAAAGTACAGTAGAAATACAGTATTATAATCTTATGGGACCACTGTTGTATATGTAGCTTGCTGACAACCAAAACATGTGGTGCATGACAGTCTACGTATCTACATATCTTACAAAACTGGAAATCATACTGCAGTTACAACTTAATTTACTTACCTTTCCACTTATATTGTGAATATTCTCCCATGAATTAAATATTCTATGAAAACATTTTTAATAATTCCCCAAATACTATATTATATACATACCATAATCTGTGCATTTCTTTATTATTGGCCAAAAACATTTAGGTTTTTCTTAATATTTTGCTAATAAGAATAATACTATTATGAACATCCTTAAAAGGCATGCCTGGCTATGGAATGAAGGGCCAAAGTACAAGTACATTCTTAAGGCCTGATATATGGTATATTGCCAACTGCTTTCCAGAAAGGCTGTACTTTACACTTCTACTAGCAGTTGATAATGTGAGGGTGCCAATCTTATCATATCCTCGTTAGTACCAGCAATCATTAAAAAACCTTTGCCAATGGTTATCTTTTAATTTGTGTTTCTTTGATTAACTAATTATTGTCGCATTCCAAGTTTATATCCAGGCCCTCTACTACCAACTGCCCTCCTCAGTACCTTTTCTCTGGCCACACTGGCCTCCTTACTGTATCCTGAAAACCTCAAGCACATTCACACATTGGGGCCTCTGAACCAGCTGCTCCCTGTTCCCTGAACACTCTACTTCCAGATAGCCACATGGCTTGCTCCCTTCTTGCAGGTTTCTGATTAACATTACCTTAGCAGAGAAGCCTCCCTGACCACCTCATATAAAACAGCTCCTAACCTGGACACTCTTACTACCTCAGCCAACTTTTTTCACAGCATATACTACCACTTATCATATATAATATTTATTTTGTCTGTCTTCTCCCATTATAATATAAATCCCACAAGGGTTGGGATTTGTCTGACTTAATCCTTTATCTCTAGTACCAAGAACAATGCCTGGCACATACTAGGTGCTCAAATGTCTGTTGAATGACTCAATCAATATAGAAAGATTCCACTGGGATCAGAACCAACCATATAGACACCATGGAGATTTAAAACTTTCACAAGACATTTCTCACTTAAAACCAAAAATTTCTCATGAACACCAAAAATACTTAGTATATACATAAAACATTTTTCTTTTTTGGTGGCTGGCTGGTACAGGGATCAAACCCTGGACCTTGATGTTATCAGCACCACACTATAACTAACTGAACTAATAAAACATTTATCTTTGCAAGTTATGTTAAACATTCTCTTCCCAGCCTTTCTAGTTACCTTATAAAATGTTGATAAAAAAATTATTCTACAGAAGGTAGACAAATCATTCTCACTAATCAAATGTTTCTGATTAACACCAAACACATCTGTCTTGATATTAATGATTAATAAAATACCTAGTCAGTTACTTATCCTAAGATGCTTATTAAGTTTCAAATTAAATTATATCTGACTCTTTTTTTCAAATATTTATCCTCTTTAATTAAGTGGCCCTTTGGTCCAATCTTCGCTGTACTAGATAAGATTATATAGTAACATACTGCATAACAACGTTTCGGTCAAAGCAAACTGCATTATATATGGATTATAATATCATATTTTTACTGTATCTTTTCTATGTTTAGACACACAAATACTTACCATTGTATTACAATTGCCTATGGTATTCAGTACAGTAAGATGCTGTACAGGCTTGCAGCATAGGAGCCATAGGCTATACCATGTAGCCTAGGTGTGTAGTAGGCTATACCATCTAGATTTATGTAAGTAACTCTATGATGTTTGCACAATGACAAAATCACTGCAAAAAATAACAATGCATTTCTCAGAATGTATCCCCGTCATTAAGATACACGGCTATATATTACTATTTAGAATGTCTTAAGACATCTTTTCTGTGTAGTTTAATATTTGTAAACTTCAACAAACCAGATGGTCAGGAAATGACCCCTTCATTTTTGTCACCATTGGTACAAAGATAAAAATAAAGCTTTTTTTTTTCCCCCCCTTTTTTTGTCTTTTTTCGTGACCGGCAACGGATCGCAACCCTCAGTGTCGCGCCCGTACCGGACCGGGACCGGCAACGGGATCGCAACCCTCGGTGTTGCGCCAAAATAAAGCTTTTTGAAAATAAAGTCATATGTTTTGAACTACTCATTAAGAACAGTTCCAAATAAGAACATTGTACATTTCTCACTGCATATGCTTAAAGCTAAATTTCAATAGGTAGCTTTTTGTAAGACAAAAGTTCATGATCAATCTCTATAAATGAAAATATCAGTGTTACCTTTTGGATCATTATGAGTCAATAGCTGTATGTCAAATTGCTTAGCAAATGCAGTCAAATCAGGTGGCATCACACAGCAGGAAGCAAGATTAACTTGGTTACTATTTGGTTTTACCTAGAAGTAAAAATAAAATCATGACATTTCTACTAAAAAAAATAATACAGGAAGTAGCAAGCAATAAGCAATAAAAGGACTTAATTTTAGAACATACAAAAAAATCATATTCTATAGTGCTTAAAGTTTATAAAATACTTTTACATGAATATCTCTATCAATTTATGCTTTTCTAACCCATGTTAATGGTAACAGAGAAAGGAAAAATAGCTCTAGGAGGAGGAAAAAGCCAATATAACACTACAATATTATAAGTCTCCAATCTAATACATCTACCTCAGAAACAAACATGATTCTAAGAGTGATGGTTTCAGCCACAGTATGAATGTCTTCAAGGTAGGAGATCAAATACAAGTACATTTAATGTTAAAATATAAAATATGGCTATTAATCAGACACATTTTGAAAGAGAAGAACAGATAATGTCCACCAACTGCACTGGTTTATTTCTATGCACATTCTGTATCCAAGTCTTTCCAGAAGTTTCTTGGCCACAATCTGGCTATCGCCAAGTCAAAGGAAGAAGGGGCAACATAAGAAACTCTGAAAGCTCTGAAACAGAGAAGGCTGAGGATGAAGTAAAAGGCATAAAGAAAAACACAGAGAGTAAATGTAAAATACAAATAAGTAAATCCCCTAACAATTTTCTAGGGCATTAGATCAGAGTGGGGGGATTAATTTATGACACCCACTCCATATCAAGCTGTATGAACTAAGAGTCTTATACATCTTTAAATTACGAAGTATATATAATATTCTTTACTTGGGAAATTAATAGCCATGCTCTTAATAGTACCTAAAGAAAAATATGATATTTTCCTCAGATATGTAAAACTGAAGAAAACAGCCTTAATTCATTTGGCTATGAATGCTCCAACACATATTTTTTAGTGTTTTTGTTAAATGGGATTAATATTCTGTTCAATTAGGCATACATTTAAAAAAAAAAAAACCCAAGAAAAACAAAAACCCTAATGCTTTAGATAAAGTCTGCCTCAAAACTCCTATATTTGGAATAGTCACCCCACAGTGAGTGCTGACTACATGCATGATGTGCAACAGTATGCAGCAAAGACTGAAAAAGGCAGGTTCCTCCCCGAGAGCTCAGGATCTAGCCATCCTTTACCTGTGCCCACTGATACAGCTGTTCCAACTGTGTTTTGTCTAGATCAGAGGTACCTATAGCAACAATCTTTTTGCTCTGAACTAAGTTTTCTAACTCTTCCCAGTAAGGCTGTAAATGCTCCAAGGAAAGATTAACTCCGTCTTCAACAGGAGGTGAAGCAATGATCACAGAATCCAGCTGTGCAACTCCAAGGACTGAACAGGCTAATGGAAAAGAAAACAAAAAGAGGATAAATGTTTGTTACATAATAAAAACAAGTATTTCTAACGTCCTCAAAGTATCCTACTGAGTTCTGTCTATATTGTTCACTAGTTTTCTATATAACAGATTATTTTATAATGTACCTTTCATTAAGAACACTTCCACCTCTTAAAAATGTACAAGTACCCATTCACTACTTTCTCTGTGTGACAGACATGTGGGTTTCTCTGACCTGCCTTCTTCCAAGGGAGCTCACAGCTATACTACTGGCTCTTCTTTCTGCGGAACAGGCTTCCTTCTTGTTTCCTAGGCACTAGGATTTTTTGGTAGCTTCCTTATTTTCAAAAACATGTTTTTCTCTGGTTCCACTTGTTTACTAGTATCTCATATGTATGATCACAAGAATTCTGACCTAATATTCTGTAACTGGTAGTCACAGCAAAGAATAAACTTGAAACTCTGAAAAACTGAATTTATGGTATTAATCTATATTTATAGAGGTAGATAATTTCTTAATTTCTATAAAAATAATTAAAGATTATATTAACATTAAAAATATTTAAAATATTTTAAATGACCATTCTACAGTTTTATTAAAGAGCATATTATTTAAGTTTAACATAAATACTAGAAGAATGCTTTAAAAGAAAAAGTACTGAATAACTGATATCACAATAAACCAAGTACTGAAAACAGATATTCTGTGTTTTTCTGTTATTGTTTTTGATATTTCATCTATAGTACTACAAGGGCTAAGAGTATGATCCAGGAAAACTTCTATCCCCCAAAATATAGCTAACATTTAATCATGTTACATCTTTTACATTCCTCTTTTATATCAAAATCTGACTCTAGGGCTGGCCAGTTAGCTAAATAGTTACAGCACCACAGCCCTATAACACCAAGGTCACAGGTTCAGATCTCTGTTCTGGCCAGCCACTAAACAAAAAACAAAAATATGACTCAACTTTAAAAGGTAAAATTGGAATCAGCTCATTTTCTTTTTTACCTGGACCAGAACACAAGTTATAACTAATTCACCCACACTAATTTAAAGTCCACTATTAAGAGAAAAAGTTAAAATTTTGCTTACCCATGTCAACTGCATTTTTAGTTGATGATGACGAGTTTGATCCTACAATGAACAGTTTTGCTGGGTAACAAAGAAAACAATACTGATTACTACATCTGGATACACATTTTACTACATAATATTAACACTGCTACAATACTAAGATGACAGATAATCCTAAATAAATTATTTTTCCTTCCCTAGTCACGTAATTTTATAGATATGAGGAGTCTTCAAAAACTTCATGGAAAGATTTGTATTATCTTTTAATTCCATTTTTTCACAAACTTTTTGAAGTATCCTTGTAGTTTTTATTTTAAAACACAGAAGTGTATTTCCATTGTAATTTTCAAGATATATGCTAGTTGCCAACAAATATTTGTTTGTCAAAATAAAAAAGCATTAATTTCCCACTTATTAGAAGGCAGATCAGAGAAATACAGAAGCTTAAATTACTTGAAATCTATATTTTTATGAATTAAAGATTAACAGAATATGTTATATACTTTCTCCAATAAACTAAAACCTACAGGAAAAGACTAAATTAAAAGTGATGTAATGAGAATGGAAAAAAAAAAAAAATCTATCCCACCTTCCCAATACGATCATTTTCATTTTTAGACATTACCTTCCAGTTTTTGGTCACATTAAGCAGGATATAAGTTTTTTTCCTACTTCTGTTTGGGTTACCTTTATGTAATAAATATTTTTTATATATTTCTATGTAGTATTTAGTTATCTCAAATTTTATTATAAGAGTAATATGCTTATTCTAGAAATGAGGAAAACCTTTAACAGTAGAAAGACCAAAAAGAATTGCCAACAGTCTCATAACCCAAAGCAATTACTATTTAGATTTTTGTGTATTGTGTTTTTAGTGTATAATTTTACATACTCATTTTTTAATGGTTGAACATTATTCTGTAATGTTGATAAGGTATAATTTACTAAATGAGTTATTGCTTACTGAACATTTTTAGTAAATATCACAGTATTTCCAGTTTTCTGTTATTGCATATAACGCTAAAACAAAACATCTTGGTAACCTTTTGTTCAACTTTATATTGAATCTTTTCCCAAGGATGAATTGTTAGAAATGTGATTATGAGTCAAAGGATATGACCTTTTTTATGAGTCTTGTTCTATTTTATTTTATTTTTTATTTTTTAATTTAATTTAATTTTTTTTGTCTTTTTCATGACCAGTAAGGGGATCGCAACCCTTGGTGTGGTGTCGCCCACACCGCGCTCAGCCAGTAAGCGCACCGGCCATTCCTATATAGGATCCGAACCCGTGGCGGGAGTGCCGCTGCGCTCCCAACGCTGCACTCTCCCGAGTGCGCCACGGGGCCAGCCCATTCTATTTTATTTACGTACAACTACTTTATAGAAGATATGTACCATTTTACCAGACCACCAAGTTAAGAGCTGCTCTCCTAACAATATAGAAGGCCATTGTTTAAAAAAAAAAAAACAACTTTGTTTTAATTTAGTAGGTGCAATATATACCTGCCCAGGACCACACTAATTGGAATTTTTTGGTTATCGGGAAAGTTGAGTAGTTTTTTGTATTTATAAGATTGAGGCTTTGGCTTGATTTAAACTTAATTTTATATGTACATATTTACTTTATGTAAACTCACAGTTCAAAAATCTAAATTTACTCAATAAACAAACAAGCATAGTAATAGGAGAGCAAGAAAAAAAAATCAGAAAGGGGAATGGAGAGAAAAAGGGCTAATGAAATATCCCATGTAAAGTGCCTGACATTAAACATATACAACAAACTTTCTTGTACATATTTGTAATATTTATCCCTTCCTTTCTACTGCTAGATAATCTTCCCAAAACATTGCTTTCCTTATGTTATTCCCCTATTGGAAAGCCATCACAGCTCCACCAGATGAGAGTCAATATTCACCACTTTGGTCCAACTTCAGCTCCCATTATTACACTCTATGAAAACATTCCCCGCCACTATTCCTCTGTCATAAATCTGTACCATCTGAAATAGCCTCCTCTCGCTGAAAGATGAGGCATTTTTAGATAAATAGAAAAGGGAAGACTTCATATGGGGAGAATTTTGATACCTACCAAAAACCTCAAGCTCTACAGGAACTGAGGAAAATCTTGTAAGAGATCCAAGATGGATCTACATCATGCTGAATTACAATTAACCACAAAGAGATTGCTGCTTTTACTTCCTTTCCAACACAAACAGCAATGTGAAGTTAAGAGAAAGAAATGTGTTTTGGAGGCTGGCATACTTGGATGGACTCCTGGTTCAACCACTTACTGGCTGTATGACAACTTTCAAGTTATTTAATGTCACTAGTGCATTGGGGGATAACACACCTATCCTGCAGGATTGTTTTGAGAATTATTATGAGGAAATATGACCATAAAGTGTCAAGTACAGTGCCTAGCACAAAGCAAGACTCAATAAATTGTAGTTATTATTAAAGTCAAAAGACAATGCCCTATCTCATCTTACATGTCCATCTTAATAACAGTGATAATTAGCAACAACCATAACAATACAACATGGTAACAAATAATAGTAACCTAGCACTTACTTTGTGGCAAGCACTGTGCTAAGTGCTTCTTTTGTTATTTCATCTAACTTACAAAGAAAGCCTGTGTAACAGGTGCACCTCCATTTTATAGATGAAGAAACTGAGGCTCAGAGAGGTTAAATACTTTGTTAGCCCAAGGTTATACTAGCCAGTAATCTGCACACCTAGGAATTTAATCTAGTCAAGCTCAAGCCTTTAATGACTGCTATGCTGACTGTGAGCTGAGGTTAAGAGCAGAGCCTCTTTTCATTTTTGTATTCCTTGAGCCTAGTACAGTTTCTGGAATGTAGCAGTCACTCACTACATTTGTTGAAAGGGTGTGATATACATTTTCTTTCTATCTACGTAACTTGTTGCCCAGACTTCTTTCTACACTCCTGGGTGACCTCAGTCATTACTTACCAGAATCCTACCAGGAAGGGAGAGCTTCATCCCTTCCATTTCCTCTACCTTAAGCTTTCTACTGCTCTGAAGTCTAACACACAAATTACATGACATGACATCATGAAGAACAGCAAGTTGATGTTCTACTCTGACTCCACTGAAGTGGCCAGCACTGACCTTCTATAACTCCCTCTTAGAGATAACACTAAAATTATGTTAAAAAAGAATCCTTATATTTCCTACACTTAGTGACTGAGTCACTCATTACCAGAAGCAAAGAGAAGTTTATTCCCATGCCTGACAAAACCTTACTATCACTTCCACTGTGTAACAAAACAAATTATAAAGGCTGGATTTTACCAGAAACTTTCATTTCTTCTCTTTCATCAGGATTTATCTTTTCTACTGCATGAGATACAGTGCATTCCAAGACATCTGGAAACTCCTGTAATAAACACACGGTATTTACAATAAATATAAAATTAATGTTTCCGATTAATTAGAAAATGTCTATTATCCCTTAGAAGCAGAAAACCCTTAAGACAGGATTCTTAACCTAAGGTCTAGAAGGTGCAACAGTTATAAAGCCCTAAAAGCTAAGTGTATGTGTGTCTATTTTCTGGGAAAAAGTACCTCTTTTTGATGAGGTATTCAGAGAGATACATGATCAAAAAATTAAAAATTAAAAAATAAACAAGCAAGGGGAGGGGTATATAAGGAGTTGGAACCACTAGCAGAGTAGATAATTTACTTTTAAAAGAAACCAATGAAAAATAATAATTATTATCCATTGTGGATAATGACATGTTAAAATTTTTCTATATTAATCATAAACTTTTTTTTTTCTACTTTTAATTTTTTTTTTGAATTTTAATGTCATCGAACTCTCCCACCTGCAAGGGGATTTAGTTTTTTTCTCTGATAGAAATTATCTTCCTGCTTATTTCACTTTCCTTTTAACTTGCATGATTTCTGCATTCACATTTCACTTACCCTGACCAAATCTGGGCTGATTTGGGAACTCCACTCATTCAAGGTTTTTTGGATGCAATCTCGAAGCTGCAAAAGGAATGCAATTTGAAACTGTTAATCAAGCTCTAATTGCTTTTGTGTACTTCTACAGTAAGAACGTAATAGTTTGATAAGCTAAGCAGGAAAAAAGATAAGAAAAGATCAATAAGAAATACCACACAAACCCAAATTTTAATTCTACAGGGTTTTTGTTTCCTTTGATGTAAATTCAGACCTGTTTTATCCTACTCTTATTTCGCAAACTTTCTTGACTTAAAGCAACAGTCTAATTATTTAAAGTGTTTCTGTACCAATGAAAATTTAATTAAACTTTTGAGACATAAAAGCATTCTTGGAGAAACAAAAAACTTTTTCAAGAATAAGGTTTATAAATGGAGAAACTTGGATTTAAGCCCAGGCTGCCTGACAAGAATTTGCATTAACCACTATGCTACATTCCTCAAAGACAAATGATAAAGAGTAAGTGTGGCCAGAAGAATTTCTACATCAGATTCACCTGTAGTGTTTATTAAAAATTAAGACTCCTGATAGACCTGCTGAATCACTCTCCAAGAGCAGCTAGAACTTTCATTTCAACAAGCATCCCAAGTGATCACTATGTACTCTAAAGTCTGAGAACGACCAGGACAGACATATCTTGCAGAAGTCAACTTGGACAATGAGAGTCCATAAGTCATTTCCTAACACAAGTACATCTCCAACTTGTCTTCAATGTTTTCTTAAATAAAACAAAAAAAATTTTTTACACCAACATTATGGTATGTAGTAAATTCACTAAAGTGTTTATCTTTATATCTGTTATGTCAATGTATTTCAAACTTGACAGTGGTCCAGGGTAAGACATACATTCACATAGTGAGCAACATTTTGTGTTTGTGTGTGTGTGTGTGTATAAAATAAAACAAAAAACTCACAAAATGATATTTATGCTCACTACCCGCCATGCGCTATGATGGCTGCTACTCTATCATTAATAAAAATACTGCTCCATGACTCACTAAACTGATTTATGACCAGTTATGGGCCAATACCAGCAGTTTGAAATCACTGCCTTATAGATAAACAAGGGCACAGTGCTTTGCATTCTCTGGGCAATCAATGAAAAAAGGAAATTTGTAACTAGAAGCAAGCCTCTGAATTAAAGCAGTTTCCTAATAGCAACAACAGAGACTAAACTTTTGAACTCATTATCTGAACTATGATTACTTAGGATAAAAACTGATACAAGCACTTTACCGCTTATACCTTACAAAGGACAACCGGTTTATCAATTTAAGAGCACAGAGCCACCTATGTTAAGATTTGTATTCCACAACAATAATTTATGTGCTACCCCACAATAACCTACTTGAATTCAAGTTATAAGGTCTGTATCTTTATGCAAAGTATATTTATGATTAAGCTTTAGTTAATAGATGAAAATTAGTTGATAATCATTCCAGATAGAATTATAAATCAATATTCTTTCAAAATTAGTAAAAGTTGAGGCAGCAGGACCAACTAGAGATTAATAATTCTACCAGAAGTGCTTTGGCTCAAGTCATGGCAGAATTCTAAGAAATTTTTCTCTGGAAGGATGACTTATTTGCATACTTAAGGCTATCCTGATGAATTTCTCAATTCAGAAAGAGAAGTATATTTTCAGAGTATTCACCCCCTTCTTGAAATCATTTCTTTGATTAATGTTGGATTCTGCAAAATGTCTGGACAAATCACAGAACAGATGTTACAATTACATGGGAAATGCAGTGAATATCACAAGCCTATGATTTTTAATCTTGTAAATTATCTGGATCGACCGATTAACGTTGTTCTTTTTTGTTCTCTGCTCCCTTCATTCTTATCATACACACATCACTGAAGGTAAGTTTCACTGCAATTTAGTGTATCATTAGCTCTGAAATTGTATGAGTTTAAAAAATACCACTGGTCAAACACCTTACAACAAAGAACTGGGCAAATCAGTCCAGTCCTATAATGATCCACTTCAAAAACAATATTTGATTTCATTAAATTCCAGTGAATAAAAAAATCTGAACAGAGGTCACAGAATCAAAAAATGTGAGAACCAGAAGAGACCTTCTCAAGTTTTGCTCAAATGTTTTCTAGTTTCTTTAATTTTGTCCTACTCTTATGAAGCACCGTAAATAAAACACTACAAACCAGAATTAATTTTTGAACAATGTTTTTTGAACCATGGGTGTGAGTCATTGTTGCATTGAGAAATGAAATTTTTAAAAATTAAAATAGGATAGAAAAAAACCCAAAATACACAGTATATAATAAAGTTTAATATCTCTTTGTGTAACCTTTGTTTCAAACATATTGATATATATGTAACTATGATATATATCTATACATGGTGCGTATATGTATATCTATACATGAGATACATCTGTAAATGTAACTATGATATATATAAAACTATGAGCTGACTGCAAAGTAAAATGCTCTTCTTTCTGTTTGCAATCAAAAACTCCGAAAGCCACTACTTTAGAGTGTGTTGTAGCAAGATGAGAGGTAAAATTTCACCCAATAATATCAATATATGCAAAATGCTGTACTGAACCATCACCATCAGTATTGGTCTATGTACCAAACACAGAAATACTTATCTTTAGGGGAAACAGTCAAAGTTGGTGGTTTAAACAGAACAATGCATATGAACTGAGCTGGAACTTGAAGGCAGAATATGGTACAGATTCCCATTCCTATTAAAGTTACAACGAAAGCTTCTCATCTCTTGATGGACACTGACTCCTAATAGAAGGCCTGGGCACAGGTCCAGCACATACTCCGAGGCAGGCCATGTACTCACCTCATGTAAAGGAGCAGAAACGGTCCAGGAACACAGCTGATAACATAGTATGACATAGTTCAGGAAATTTTTTTTTCTTTTAATCAAGATTTGTTTTATCTTTCTGATGGAGCCAAATGATAGGGAGATAAATGCTTGTATGGTCAGCGTTTTCATACATTATGTCTTAATTCTCACCAAAACCTGATGAGAAAGGTATTATTACCCAACTTTAAAGCTATGTAAACAGACTCAGAAAGGGTATGTAACTTTCCCAAAGTCACATAGCTCCTAAACTTAAAGGTTTGTTTACTTTATTATTTTTTAAATACTAAAATTGTCCCATACTACCAATATATCTCAGCAATTAACTTTGAACTAGGTGACTATCCATTCACGAATGGCCAGCAACAAATAAGTATAATTCCAGATTAATCCCTGCCACCTACAACTAGTGATTATTTAGGCAAATAAAATGAGACATTAATTTCCAGCAAGAAAGATACACACCGAATTCCAAAGCTGAATTTGAGTACTTAGTCATTTGCCTCACAGCGAGAGACTAATGTCAACATTCTAAAATTTAAGCGTATTGGAAATACTATTTCATGTGAATCCACCAAAGGCTAGTCTCTGAAATATTCTTTTAACTGGACAGGGCGGAGGAGGGGAGCAAGAGACCGGGAGAGGGACGGAGCTAAGCCCTGATCCTCTCCGACGACCCTGCCAGGGAGAGGAACCATATACGTTTGAGAACTTTGATATCAGCCTGGAGCACTGGCAGAGGCGTCACTCGGTGTACAGTCACACCTGCTAAGTTTTTAAGATGCGCTGCCTCCAGCAGTAGGTTTGGATTCGAGGTATTGCCCATACCGGCCCCAGCCTCCTCCAGCGGGCGGAGCCCAGGTGCGCGCCTCCCCGGGCGCCCCGAGCGCGGCCGGCCGCCC